TATAATGAAGACCATTTCTTGCAATCTTAAAATTTATGAGTTATGATTTTTTGAACTAAACCTTGCATAATCTTAAATATCAATGTTAGGATAATTAATCTTTACGTATCTCAAAAACAAATTGAGATATCGTTATGAAATAAACAGCAATTTAAAGCAAATTTATTTGGAATTTAATATTTTAAAGATCATTTCTTGAAATCTTCAAATTTTGATGTTATGATTTTTTGAAAGCAACTCTGCATAACCATAAATGTTAGGGTAATACTACTTAATCTTTTCGTATCTCAAAAAGTAATTACGATATCACCATGAAATAAAAAGCAATTTAAAGGAAATTTATTTATGATTTAATATAATGAAGACCATTTCTTGCAATCTTAAAATTTATGAGTTATAATTTTTTTAACTAAACCTTGCATAATCTTAAACATAAATGTTAGGATAATTAATCTTTACGTATCTCAAAAACAGAGTGAGATATCATTATGAAATACATAGCAATTTAAAGTAAATTTATTTGGAATTTAATATTGTAAAGATCATTTCTTGGAATCTTAAAATTTATGAATTATGATTTTTGAATGCTACTCTGCCTAGCCATAAATGTTAGGGTAATACTAATTAATCTTTTCGTATCTCAAAAGCTAATTAAGATATCACCATGAAATAAAAAGCAAATTAAAGGAAATTTATTTAGAATTAAATATATTGAAGACCATTTCTTGAAATCTTAAACTTTTTGAGTTCTGATTTTTTCAACTCAACCTTGCATAATCTTTAACATAAATGTTGATAATTAATAATTAAATTGATAATAATTATTCGATAAGAGATGGAATAACATAAAAAAAATTTTTAAATCAAAATAGTCATGTCACGATTTTCAAATTTTTCAAAATCAAACAAACTCAACAAACTGTAACATCAAATTTTTGGCACAACAAATTTTTCGGCCCAATTAATTCAAAATTTCAAATTTTAAAGTGTAAAACGCCGTGCGGTTTAAGAAAGATTAAAGAAACAACAAAAAAGAACATAATCGATAATCAAGAAAAGTGAAAAAAGAAACTTCGTAAGATGCCCATGAACTCAGCCCCGCCTGCGTCAAAGTGTATCATAAACTGTGGTACACCGACGATCCATTCTGTATACGCTTATCCACCTTGCGTGCAACCATGGCATATTTACACCCCGTGCTGTATAAACCCACTACCGGCACCAATAAAATGCACAATGCTGGAAAAATGTTAAAAAAATGGTAACTAAGTGTGTTGTTTAGTGGAGAAGATTTTCTTGTTAATACTTTTACTGCACGGCACAAATATATAACAAAATATTTTTTTGTGTAAATAAAATTGAATACGCACAAATTATTGGCTTTTTATTATTACATTATACAGTAAAACCTCGATGTAACGGATTAATATGGGGAAAAGAGTGTCGACACTCCCAAGTTAATGGAACACTCGAGAATTGGAGTGTCATAACAAAACTAAGCAAAAATGTTGTAGCAAAATTCATTGTTAACCATATTACTCTCTTACACTTTGGCTCTCTCATGCATAGACACTGGAAGTATACGAAAATATGAAAATTAGATGAATTGTTGCTTTCTCAAGTTATCAATGGTAACACTTTGAAATCGGAGCAGGTTATAAAAAAGCTTTTACAAAAAAGTTGTAGCAAATTTTATTCTTAACAATATTGCTCTCTTGTAATTTTGCTCTTAGATGCGTCAGTATCAAGAAAAATATAAAAATATGAAAATTTGATCAATTCGCTGTATTTTCCAAGTTGTTGATGGTAAATAGAAGTATACTACAAAAAAAATTTTAGAACAAAAGTTGTAGCAAATTTTGTTCTTAACAATATTGTTCTCTTACACCTTTGCTCTTAGATGGGTCAATATCAAGAAAAATACAAAAATATAAAAATTTGATCAATTCGCTGTATTTTCCAAGTTGTTGATGGTAACACTGGGAAATAGGAGCATATTACAAAAAAACTTTTAGAACAAAAGTTGTAGCAAATTTTATTCTTAACAATATTGTTCTCTTACACTTTTGCTCTTAGAGGCGTCAATATCGAGAAAAATACGAAAATATGAAAATTTGATGAATTTGTTGCTTTTTCAAGTTATCAATGGTAACACTTTGGAATCGGAGCAGGTTATAAAAAAACTTTTACAACAAAAGTTGTAACAAACTTTATTCTTAACAATATTGTCCTGTTGCACTTTTGCTCTTACATGCGTCCAAATCGAGAAAAATACGAAAATATGAAAATTTGTTGTTTTTTCAAGTTATCAATGGTAACACTTTGAAATCGGAGCAGGTTATAAAAAAGCTTTTACAACAAAAGTTGTAGTGAATTTTATTCTTAACAATACTGTTCTTTTACACTTTTGCTCTTAGATGCGTCAAAATCGAGAAAAATACGAAAATATGAAAATTTGATGAATTTGTTGCTTTTTCGAGTTATCAATGGTAACACTTTGGAATCGGAGCAGGTTATAAAAAAACTTTTACAACAAAAGTAGTAGCAAATTTTATTCTTAACAATGTTGTCCTTTTACACTTTTGCTCTTAGATGCGTCAAAATCGAGAAAAATACGAAAATATGAAAATTTAATGAATTTGTTGCTTTTTCAAGTCATCAATGGTAACACTTTGGAATCGGAGATTATAAAAAAACTTTTACAATAAAAGTTGTAGCAAATTTTATTCTTAACAATATTGTTCTTTAACACTTTTGCTCTTAGATGCGTCAAAATCGAGAAAAATACGAAAATATGAAAATTTGATGAATTTATTGCTTTTTCAAGTTATCAATGGTAACATTTTGGAATCGGAGCAGGTTATAAAAAAACTTTTACAACAAAAGTTTTAGCAAATTTTATTCTTAACAATATTGTTCTCTTACACTTTTGCTCTTAGATACGTCAAAATCGAGAAAAATACGAAAATATGAAAATTTGATGAATTTGTTGCTTTTTCAAGTTATCAATGGTAACATTTTGGAATCGGAGCAGGTTATAAAAAAACTTTTACAACAAAAGTTGTAGCAAATTTTATTGTTAACAATATTGTTCTTGCACACTTTTGCTCTTAGATGCGTCGAAGTCGAGAAAAATACGAAAATATGAAAATTTGATGAATTTATTGCTTTTTCAAGTTATCAATGGTAACACTTTGGAATCGGAGCAGGTTATAAAAAAGCTTTTACAACAAAAGTTGTAGCGAATTTTATTCTTAACAATACTGTTCTTTTACACTTTTGCTCTTAGATGCGTCAAAATCGAGAAAAATACGAAAATATGAAAATTTGATGAATTTGTTGCTTTTTCAAGTTATCAATGGTAACACTTTGAAATCGGAGTAGGTTATAAAAAAACTTTTACAACAAAAGTTGTAGCAAATTTTATTCTTAACAATATTGTTCTTTAACACTTTTGCTCTTAGATGCATCAGAATTGAGAAAAATACGAAAATATAAAAATTTGATGAATTTGTTGCTTTTTCAAGTTATCAATGGTAACACTTTGGAATCGGAGCAGGTTATAAAATAACTTTCACAACAAAAGTTATAGTAAATTTTATTAACAATATTGTTCTTTTACACTTTTGCTCTTATTGTTAGATGCGTCAAAATGGAGAAAATGAAAATTTAATGAATTTGTTGCTTTTTCAAGTTATCAATGGTAACACTTTGGAATCGGAGCAGGTTATAAGAAAGCCTTTACAACAAAAGTTGTAGCAAATTTTATTCTTAACAATATTGTTCGTTAACACTTTTGCTCTTAGATGCGTCAAAATCGAGAAAAATACGAAAATATGAAAATTTGATGAATTTGTTGCTATTTCAAGTTATCAATGGTAACACTTTGAAATCGGAGCAGGTTATAAAAAAGCTTTTACAACAAAAGTTGTAGCGAATTTTATTCTTAACAATATTGTTCTTTTACACTTTTGCTCTTAGATGCGTCAAAATCGAGAAAAATACGAAAATATGAAAATTTGATGAATTTGTTGCTTTTTCAAGTTATCAATGGTAACACTTTGGAATCGGAGCAGATTATAAAAAGACTTTTACAACAAAAATTGTAGCAAATTTTATTCTTAACAATATTGTTCTTTTACACTTTTGCTCTTAGATGCGTCAGAATTGAGAAAAATACAAAAATATAAAAATTTGATGAATTTGTTGCTTTTTCAAGTTATCAATGGTAACACTTTGGAATCGGAGCAGGTTATAAAAAAACTTTTACAACAAAAGTTTTAGCAAATTTTATTCTTAACAATATTGTTCTCTTACACTTTTGCTCTTAGATACGTCAAAATCGAGAAAAATACGAAAATATGAAAATTTGATGAATTTGTTGCTTTTTCAAGTTATCAATGGTAACACTTTGGAAACGGAGCGGGTTATAAAAAACCTTTTAGAACAAAAGTTGTTGCAAATTTTATTCTTAACAATATTACTCTCTTGCACTTTTGCTCTTAGATGCATCAATGTTAAGAAAAACACAAAAATATGAAAATTTGATGAATTCACTGTATTTTCAAAGTTGGGGGTAACACTGAGGAATCTGAGTATATTACAAAAAAACATTTTAGAGCAAGAGCTGTGTCAAATTTTATTCTTAACGATATTGCATTCTTCCACTTTTGCTCTTAGATTCATAGATATCGAGAAAATTCCCAAGTAGATAATAGTTTTTCCCAGCAGTATTTAGTCTTCTCCTAGTAGTAAGTAGTCTTATGGAAACAGTATCTCATCTTTCCAATCAGTTTGTAGTTGTTTGTTAGCACTATCTAGTCTTCTCCAAGCAGATTATAATCTTTTCCACCAGTATCTAGCATTTTGGAAGCAGTAGGTACCTTTTTTAGAGAGCGTATCTCTTCTTATCAATCAGTTATTAGTCTTTTCCAGCAGTATCTAACATTCTGGAAGCAGTAGGTAGCTTTTTGGAAAGCATATCTCTTTTCTAAACAATTATTAAAGACTTTGAAAGCAATAAGTAGTCTTGGAAGCAGTATTCCGCCTGTCCAAGTAGGTCAAAACCTTTAATAGCAGTGTTTAGCGTTCTGGAAGAAGCAATAGGTAACTTTTTGAAATAGTATTTCCTCTTTCCAAGCAGTTTTTAGTCTTTTACTGGCAGTATTTAATCTTCTGATAGCAATAATTAGTCTTTTGCCAACAGTATCTAGTATTCAGGAACTTCAGGTATAGATTTTAGATTATCTTTAGTTTGTAGATGGTAAACAACGACATTTTAGTCGTTTTGCGGCGAAAACCTAGAAACAACCGTATTTCACTCGAAAATTGTCGATTTTTAAGCGACATGATGATTCTTGAATTATACCAAAACTTGTATAAAAACAGACAACTTTAGATACATCGAAAAACGGCTACGTACATTCCTAGAGTAAGATGATACTAACTTAAAAGAAAATTTTTTTGATCCATTGATAAATATGGGAGTTATCATGCGCGCAGATTGGAAATGTACTTTTCAGAATCCCAGCACCGAGAGCGTTACAAAAATGAAGTTTTTGACAGAAAAAATTTTTTCTGCCAATGGATTTTCTTTCGAGACAGTCTAAAATACAATTTAAGCGAAGTCCGTTCTAACAAGGTTCATTATATCGAAGTTTTACTGTATTAGCAAATTATATTAGCATTCTAAATTAATTAAATAATTTTAATAAAAAAAATTAACCTATTTTTTTATGCAAATAAAACTACGTTCCTCAGCCACATTGTCAGCATATTTATTATCACAAAATTATTTTATAGCACTTAAGATTAGGTGTTTGTTTTGATAGAAGTAATAATGAAAGTCCTTGAGAGAATGTAGCGAACGTTTCTGAATTCAGTTTTATTCAAGTGCTCCATTAAACAGTTACAATTTGAACAAAATGAAGCGTATAATATTAGATTGTGACGTCGGCACCGACGATGCCCTAGCTCTTTTAATACTTCTAAAAGCAGACCAAGAAAAACTGGTTAAAATCGAAGCCATTTGCTGTAGTATGGGAAACACTTCGATTGAAAACGTTTGCATAAACGTCATGAGACTTTTACAAATAACAAAACGCACAGATGTAAACTTTGATAGTAAATTTAGTTTTATGTATAAACATATTTTCGTAGATTCCTGTTTATCGAGGAGTTAAAGATGAATTAATAAAACACGCCAAATTAAAAACAAATTTTCATGGTAATGATGGTTTTGGAGATCTTTCAGTTGATGTGGAACCCAATTTAGATTTAATTAAATCCGAACCAAGTCCAATTGGGATGTATTCAATTGCGAAAAAATTAAATGGAGATGTTTCTTTAATGGTTTTAGGACCATTAACAAACCCAGCATTAACAATAAAGTTATTTCCCGATTTTACAGAATTACTTCATGAAATTTTAATAATGGGTGGAAATTACAAAGGTTAGAAAATGATTTAAACAAATTAAATCAATTAAATTTTTTAATTTAGCCATTGGAAATATAACGAAAACTGCGGAATATAATTTTCACGTTGATCCAGAAGCTGCTCATATAGTTTTAAATGATTCAAAATGTCCCATCACGATATTACCCTGGGAAACTTGTCTAAAACCCAAAATAACGTTTGATTGGAGATGGAACGTATTTGGAAAGATTAATTTAAGGCCAATTCAACTTTTAACAGAAGCTGAAAGGAATATTTATACCCATAAAAAAGATTTTGAATATTGGTTACCTTGTGATGCATTTTTAGCAGCTGCTTTTGTGAACCCTGCATGTCTTGAATTAACCAAGTCATTTCATGCAACTGTAGAATTACACGGATATGAAACAAGGGGCCAATTAATTTTAGATCATAATAAAAATGAAAAAGATAATGTTGTGATTATTACGAAAATTAATGAAAATGTTTTTAAAAATGTCTTGATGAATCTGTCAACATTAAATATTCTTTAAAATATATTTTAATTCAATCAACAACACATTTATAACAAATAAAATACTGTTGAAAAACGCAGTAGGAATGATTAAGGCTATAAACTACAAACACACCAAAATTTAACATATTTCTATTCATTTTTACTACTATCCTTTGTAGTTCCAGTCTGTTCTTGCATTTGCTTTCTAACAGCTCGATTAGCTTCGAGTAATTCTAACAACTGGGCGTGGATATCATCGTTTTTTTGCTCCATATCATCCAACGCCGAGCTTAACTCATCCAATTGACTATTTATCGAATTAAACTCTTAAAACGACATTAAGTTATTAATCACTCATTCATTAATAAGAAAGATTTCGTACCTTCTTCCGTCATATCTTCGTAATCCTCATCCATTTCTTCATCTTCAATCGTATTTTCTTCACCGTTATTTTCAGTTTCTTTTGGATGCATTTCTTGAGTTACCATTTGGAGAGTGTTTATATTTTAAACGTCAAAATCATATGATTGAAGTAGTTATTTATAGATTTTATTGTTGGTACTACTTATTTTTTTCTTTTAAAATGTTATTTTAAAATAATAATTTGAAAAAAAATGTTTAATAAAACCTTATGTTCAATATATTATGACCTAAATAAGTAATTTTAAAATAAATAGATTAATAAATAAATTACTTATTAAATTACTTTTCGCACCAGCGCCATCTTTTGTTGGATAGCTGTTTCAAATAACAATATTTAAATTAAATAAATATTCAAAATTGTTTTCGTATATTAGCTAGTTTTAACTAATCAGTTGTTATTGCGTTGTAAAAATTGTGTTGTACATGTTTCGCAACCTAACCTAACTTTTTCAAGGATTATTTAACTCGTAAAAACTAGAAATTTTAGGTAAGACTGTACGTCTTTGACGCGTAAATAATCTAAAATGATTCAAATGGCGATTAAATTAAATTTTATGTAAAATAAATCAACTTACAAATATTTTTAAATTGACATATAAAACTTAGGTTATGTCTGAAACTTCATTCCGAGATAAAAATCGTTTCGTGTCGTCTAAAATCGGTTTGAGCAAACGGTTAGGATGTTCAAAAATGTCTTTAAACGTTTCTTTTGGATGAATCGCGCCTTTTTTTTGTAAAAATTCATAATTTTTGTTACGAAATTTTTCTAAATGTCAAAAATACGATTAATATGGAGAATAACCACGAGATGGGGGTGACAAAAAAAATGTAATTAATAAATTTAAAATAATTCATAAAAATTTAATAAAAACTATGTTTATATTTAAAAAAATCGATCAGTTTCGATTTAATTAAGAGTTAATATAACAAAAATTTAATAAAGTTATTATAAAAAAATTAATGTTTATGAATTTCTCTAGATGGAGCTACCTCCTACGCGTCTTTTTCAAGTGACACTTCTTGAAGTTTCATTAAAAAAAATTTATTTAACTCATTTTGCTAAAATTTCTAGTTTTAGTTTTATTTCTTATTAAATCGGCAGAAAGATGTACGAAAATGTTGTGAATAACATAATTTTTTGTTTAAAGTTTTTGACATGCCGTTACCATGGTGATTTATTTCATTTTGACGTTTGTGTCAAAGTTTGAGGTTATGTTTTTATTTTTTTTAATATTAGTAAGTTTAGGTCAACATTAACAATATTTACAGTTACTTACTATAATTTACGCTGCTTATGTATACTATTGGTGAATAAATCTTGTGGTAGTTTTCTTTTAAGTCGGACGTGGATGTTTTTCTGTCCTAAGGCATAATGTGTTACTACTTCACTCCTCTTCTTAAGGTCACCTGTCCCTTACATTCTTCAACTACTAGCATTTTCTCCTCCCTGGCCCCCTATTTCTTTCAAGCTTCATGTTGTATTTTTTCCCTCTATAAATATGCCCTAGATAACTTGTTTTCCGGGATTTTATCATATTTAAGAGTTCTCTGTCAGTTTCCATCTTTCTTAAGACCTCATCATTGGTAACGTGCTCCTCCCAAGAGATCTTCTACATTCTTCGGAAAACCCACATTTCAAAGAGTTTTATCCGCCTCATATCATTAATTCCAAGACTCAATGCTTCCACTCCATATAACAGTAGTGAATAGATGTACGTTTTCACAAGTCGGTATTGAGCATCCAGTGACAAGGTGGAATTTGCTAGGAATATCTTCATTCTTAGAAAAGCAAATCTGGCATATTCTATACGAGCTCGCACTTCAACCTCGTGGTCGAGATCATCTGTAAGCGAGATACTGGAATCTGTGTACGAGTTCTATCTGGTTCTTACCATTAATTTAGTTTGTTTATATTAATTTTTAACCCTAGAGTATCTCCTTCCCTTGTCACGACGTAACAAAACTCGTTGCAATGCCTCAGCATTGTCTGCAATAATGACTGTGTCATCTGCGTGCTTTAAGTTGGTTACATATTCTCTGTTGACTCTGATTCATATTCTCTGACTTCCTCAATATTTTCGAGGACATATTGAAAAATTATGAAGCATTAAAACAGAGCAACATGTCTTTGCATTGATCTCGACACTTTTGTAGCAGTATCTAAAAGTCAAACAGTGCTTCCTTTATACTAAGTCTCGCGTGACTCATTAGACTAATTAACTTAAACTGTGAGCATCTATTTGCTTTATTTTTCTTGGGTATGGGGACAAACGTTGATCTGAGCCAGTCTTCTGGGAAGGTTCCCGTGCTAAATATTTTATTAATTAGCAGTGTTAATGTCTGAAGGTTTTCTTCATTAAATTTATAAGATTTATCATTTCTACATATATTTCGTCTGGACCTGGGGTTTTTCGTGTCTTTGGCGTGTTAGCCGTTTTTGTAACTTCTGATATTACCATGTCAAGTATTATTTCTTGGGTTGCATTCATCTGCGGTTCTGTTCTTTCGTCATCAAAGAGCTCCTGAATGTATATTTCCCATATACATGCTACATCTTCTGGACTAGTTACTATCTGATTATTATCATCTATTAGAGTCATTGTAGTGAATCTTTCATGCATATTTGTGACTTCCTTTACATTTCTGTATATATTAGTGGTCATGTTTTCTTAGTAAGTCTCCTTTCACTTTCCTGATATGCTTCATTTTGATTTTTTTGAGATCTTCGAGTGTCCATCAGTTCTAAAATTTGTTCTGACATCTATGATGAGGAATTTTTTATAATTCCTACACTGTCTTGTAATGTTTCTGTTTGTATGGCTGTAATTGTTGTTTTGAAAGTGTGCCAAATGTTTTCGACTCTCCTCTAATTCAGTTGGTGTTTCACTACATTTTTCTTTGAGTATTTTCTCTATCTGATTGTTTAAGTTTATCGAGGTTAAATTTTGTCTTCTTTTGTGCTTGATATATTTATGTCAGCATATGCTTTAACTCCGTTTTGATGCTAATTCAGTTTTTTAAATTTTAGTGAACTTTTCACTAAGTCTTTTGGTGTAATCATGTTGAATTCCTCTTTTACTTATTCTTGTTTTAGATGTACGTATACGTGGTATCCTAGTATCCATCTTTCACCTTGCTTTAAACATGTTTCAGTAATACATGCTTTTTGAATGTTATAATGATAGAGAAATTCCATGATTTCCGTTCGTTGATTCTTTAGTTTGGTCCATTCGTGTTCCCGTTCAGAACGGTGCTTTCATGGTTATTGTTATCCATTGATAAAATTGGAAAGTAGGGAATTTGCGACGAATTGTTGAATTTGTGTTATAACTGGTGTAAGGAGATCTTTTAGAAGTTTGATTATGGTACCTGTAATTGTGGATGTGAGGGATGAAGAACATTTTGGTGTTGAATGTTTTGTTGTTTTAAAATTTGTAAATTTTGTGGTGGTATGATCATTATTTCTTTGAGAATTCATATTTGCATTTTGAGTAGGTGCACTTCGTTGCTGCATATTTTGATGAACCGTACAACCTCTATAATTCGCCAGATGATTATCGCCGCAATTAGCACATCTTTGTGTATCTTTTTTATCCTTCATGCAGTTTTTAATTAATGATTTTTCTCACATTTAACACATTTCGGCTGTTTGAAGCTATATGACCAAATTCCTAACATCGATAGCATTGTGGTATGTTTCGCTTCAACGCTAATTATGCATTGAAAAATGGATTTGGTATTGTATATGTCTTTTGTGTTTTCTTCTGGTTTCAGTTCAATTGCGCATGTTGGTATTGTTTTTTTGATAAATAATCTAACAATTGGAAGTTTATGGGTTTGTTGAATATTTCCTCCTCAGTTAGTGAAATGGGCAAATGTCTTATAATTTAGACATTTAGAATGTGTTTAGATATGTATTTAGAATTAGACTCTTGAAAAGGCATTCGATTGATCTTCAAGCACTTCTTCCATATAGAATTTAGTTAATTTACGATAGTCGTCGATATCGTTTAAATTTTGTTATAACATAGTGACTTTTTATTGTAAGCTGTTGGTAACTAGGAACTAAGAATAACACTTTTCAACAAGTAGCAAGATGTAGGTAAAAACGATTATGGCGGTTACGAACAAGAAAACTAGAGTCATAGTAATTTGTAACACGAAAATATTAATAAAGTAGTTTGAAGTTTATCTAAGAAATATTCAGGTGTATCATTATATTACATCCTATAACAAATGTATTCTTAGTTTATTATTATATTTGATAAGTGATAAGGTTTCCTTTGGTTAAATAAAAGCGTTTTAATAATTTAATGGGAAATAGTCAACAGCATTTAGTAAATTGGTTATGTTATGCTGGATACTTATCCATGGGGAATGAAATTATGGATGCGTCATCCTTAATGCATCTACCAAAGGTTGATTGGAAAGATAGTCAAGATTTTGAAAATAAAGCATTGATTAAGTGGCAGTGATGGAAATGTGTCTAGACTTCTGTTACCAGTATCTAATCAACTAAGCTGTATTCTGCAAGCAGATATGATTCTATTATTCATCTAGTGTTCTGCTGTCAGTATCTGGTCTTCTGCCAACAGTATCCTGTCTCCTTCTAGCAGTATAGTCTTCTATAAGGAAGATCTAGTATTTCATAATGTCCTATCTGAAGTATCTAGTTTTATGTTAGCTTTACTAATCTCTTTTACTTTTAGCATCTAGTTCTTAACAAGTATTCTGTTCTTTTGCTAGTAGGATCTAGTCTTCTATTAGCACTATATCGTCTTCTGAAAACAGATCTTGCATTCTGTTAGTAGAATCTAATCTCCTCCCATCAGTAATTAGTCTTCTATTAGCAATAACTAANATAGAGAAATTCCATGATTTCCGTTCGTTGATTCTTTAGTTTGGTCCATTCGTGTTCCCGTTCAGAACGGTGCTTTCATGGTTATTGTTATCCATTGATAAAATTGGAAAGTAGGGAATTTGCGACGAATTGTTGAATTTGTGTTATAACTGGTGTTAGGAGATCTTTTAGAAGTTCGACTATGGTAATTAATTGGACCGCGTTATACATCACTTGACTAAGCGACATTTTATCGTTTTTAGAGATTTTCATGCTGTCTGGTATATATATTTGATAGTGATAATTCTTTGGTTAAATAAAAGCGTATTAATATGGGAAAAAAATCAACAGCATTTAGTAAATTAGTTATGTTACGTTGGATACTTGTCCACGTAGGAACACTGGGATCCCTAACGCATCTACCAAACATTGATTGGAGAGATACTAAAGATTTTAAAAATAAAGCATTCACTAAGTGGCAGAGATAGAAATGTGTAAAAATTAGGGATTTGATCACATCTTTTTATCCCAGCATCTAGACTTCTGCTACTAGTATCTAATCAAGTAAGCTGTATTCTGCAAGCAGATCCAAAATTCTATTATTCATCTAGTGTTCTGCCGTCAGTATCTGGTCTTCTGCCAACAGTATCCAGTCTACTCCGTGCCATAGTCTTTTATCAGGAAGATCTGGTATTTTATAGTTTTATGTTAGCTTTTCTAATCTCTTTTATTTTTAGCATCTACTTCTTTACAACTATTCTGTTCTTCTACTAGTAGGATCTAGTCTTATATTAGCACTATATCGTCTTCTGAAAACAGATCTTGCATTCTGTTAGTAGAATCTAATCTCCTCCCATCAGTAATTAGTCTTCTATTAGCAATAACTAATCATGTGCAAATGTTAAGTTTGTTCTGTGATCAACAACCAATGAGTAGTATTGCATTTATATCTTCCACTTGCAGCACCTAGTCTGTTATTAGTAGTATTTAGTTCCTCTACAAGCAATAAGTAGTCTTCTACAAGCAGTATCTAGTTTTCCATTGGCATTATCTCATCTTCTAAAGCAGTTTTTGTATTCTGTTAACAATATTTAGTCTTCTGCCATCGGTAATTAGTGTTGTATTTTTTGCAAACGTTAAATAATCTTCTGTAAACAGCAACTTGTCTTGTATTAGCACTATCTAGTTTTACATTAGCAGTGTCGAATCATCTATTTCGTCTATGTGGGTGGTTGATAATGGATAATATTTATTGTTTTGTAATCACATTTTAGGATCCCATGAGTAACGTTTTTGATACAAGAGGTCATTGTACATGTCACTGTATCTTTTTTTCTTATTGCTACACTACACTAAACCTAGAAACATTTGAGGTTTCTAGATCTAGATTTAGTGCTAATTCTAGTTGAAGTTATTCTAGTCAAGTTATATGGTTTTAATACAAAAAAGTTAATAATGAACTTGGGAATATAAATTTTAAGTTCAATAACTTTTAACTAACGCCATCTTTTGTCCGAGGATCGTTTCTATTGCCAATTGCGAAATTAAAGGTTAAATTTCTATTTATTTATTATTGGTTACTTTTCTACAACAAACAATAATAGATTAATATTAACTGTTTGTAAAAATTCTTGGGATATTTGCCATGTATGACAGTGTTGAACTAAAATAAAAATTTATTTTTGAAAAAATATTTAATATGGTGTATTTAAAGATACTAAAATTAAAAAACTCAAAAATTTAAGTGAAAATCTAATTTTACTTTCTTTAACGATGAAAAAACAAAATTAACACATAAACGAGTAGTGACAATAAGAAAAAGAAACACTTTTTGATACTTCAATTAAAAACGCTAAACGTAACATTAAATAAATACCGATTTAGGTTATAAACTGAGAGGATAATTTCGATATTCAACCGTTTTCTTTTAAGTAATCCTGCTTTTACAATAAAAGTTACAATGAAACAGCCATAATATATGTGAAAAAAGAAAGTAAGTTCATTTATCTTAATTCTTACAGCAATAATTAAAAATAACATACAAAAAAAAAGACATGGTCGTCTTTTCCCTTAATTTACTTTCTCGATTTTTTTGACTTGTGTCTGTCTTCGCTATCATCATCTCTACTTCTTTTTCTATCATTATGGTGAGAACTCTTATGTTTACCTGGGGAACTCTTCTTTGAATGCCTATCATGGCTACTATTATGTTTCGAACTAGAACCATGTCGCGAAGACGAAGAGTTCTTATTCGGCGATGAGGAATGTTTAGACGATCTATGTTTATCATTCGAACTTCGATGATGTTTATCAGAAGATCTATGTTTATCATGAGATTTATTTAATTTATGCTTGTCGTGTTTACTTTTATGCCGATCCGCATATCTATCAGGTTTTTTAACACCTCTGGGATTAGTGGTATCTTGTTCATCATAACGATTTCTTTCTCTATCTTCCTCTTCAGCTTCTCTTTCTAAATCAGACCAATCTTTCCCAGACTCCTCATCCGAACCTAAATCCTCCTCAGAAGCACTATCACTTTCAGTATCACCCTCAGAATATTCCGAATCTTCATCAGATTCTTCTGAACCACTCTCAACATCAGACGGCTCATACACTTCATCTTCATCTTCGGTTTGTTCATCTTGAGCTTCTTCTTCATCGTCAGTTTCTGGGTCCAAAAAGGTCCAACCGCCACTTTCAAAAAATCCATCCGGATCATCAGTAATTGTTTTCATAATTTTCGCCCAATTCAATGATTGTACTCCTTCCGAGTATCGAATATCGCACGAATTTAACCATTCCTTAACATGATCCAACATATTCATGGGAATCGCATTAACCATCGCCGTTCTTCTATGATAATCTTTAAATACAAACACCATATCGAAATTCTTCAAATGAAACTGTACCCTTTCAAAATGAACCAATTCGACGTCTTCTAACGTGATAACAAAAGGTGGCCACTCTGTTAAAGTAACCAAACAACCGGAAGTCGGTTGTAATAATACAGTAGAACGAAAAGGCGCTCCTGGAAAACCTAATTCTCGAAACGGGGTATCAAATTCGATTTCTGACTTTGTCATACTTTCAACTTTCTCACAAAAACTTTTAAAAGCCGTTTTTAATTTGTGTCTTAGTTCTCTTTCAGATTGTTCGGCTGCCAAATCGTCTCGATCATGCATATGCTGGTGTTTTCCTAAATCAGTTGTAATCTCACCCACTTCTGTATAGAATTGGACGTCAACATGTTTCTTTTTACCAAACATAATAGCGTGTTTTAGATGGAAATGTAATAAAATTATCATTTCACCATCGCAAGGTTGAAAGAAGGCATTTTTGATGTTATTGTAAAGGATGTCTACTTTATCACCGCGAACCGATGTGTAACGAAAACCGTTCGTATGAGCCTCTAACGATCCGGTCATACGTTTCGTTACTATGTTCGGACGGATGTACAGATCTTTTAATTTTGGGTTGCCTTTATTTTGAGAGAGAATTAAAGTGTCTTGTTTTACTAAATCTTCTTTTTCGCGTTCTTCAGCTTCGCGCGTTTTAAATTTACGTTGAACCTAAAACAAAATCAGAAAAAAAATAAAGATTAAACATAATCTTATTTTGATAGATTAATTTTGTTTACATTGAAATTACTTATTTACTTAAGAATATCAATAGTTATTTTCAATTTACAATGACATGTTGAGTCTAAATTAACCAATAATTTATTTTACATTTTCGTAACATTTTTAAATATTTTCAATTTATTTTTGATTGAATGGTCTGTGCAATGCTGTATAAAAGGTTCATCCGTCCATCCAATGGCGCTACAGCCGAATTCTAACATTGGCATCCTCAATTTTCCTCTTCCATCCATCTTCGTCTTCTGACAATCTTTTCCAGTTTGCAGTTGAAACATTTGCAGTTCCTGGCATTCTGCCGCACCTCATTCTCCCATCACCTTCTGGCTTTGACAACCAGTTTCCTACCTCCAGGATGTTCTTGTAGTAGCTTCTTTGGTACTCTATTATTCAGCATCCTTTGGACATACTCTGACCATGTTAACCGTTTGAGCTTTAAATATTGTACCACTTGTGGTTCCTCATACAGGATGTCATAAAAGTCCGGGAGCCTAACTTTTCCATGTTCGTTATTGTTACTAAAGACACTCCAGAAATCCAAAGGATTGTTTTGTATGTTCTCAAGTAATGATGTACGACGTAGACCATGTCAAGATTTTGAGGCTGCGCTAGACAATGCACAATCCGTCGTTATTGGGAGACTGGCAGTATCGAGGATCGTCCCAGAAGTGAAAGACTAAACACTGCCATGACTCCCACCACTGACAAGCGTGTCCAACAAAAAATTCGCCAAAATTCCAAGAGGAGTCTCAGAAAAATGGCTAAACAGTTGAATATTAGCCATGAATCCATGCACAGAATCGTCAAACATATTTGGCAGCTTCGTAGCATCACGATGAAAATTGACACATTGCCAGAACAGATGAAGGCCACTTAGAGATGTCGCAAACTTCTAAAACGCTTCTCTCCGGCGGAGCTAAAAGACATCTTTTTCACTGATGATAAATTATTTACGATTGAGCAAATGTTCAACTGCCAAAATGACAGAATGGACAGAGTGGTTGCTACGTTTCCCGAAAGACACTGCTGATGCCTGGTTCCAACAGTACACACCGCCTATGTCGCTTCGATCAGGTTGAAACTTGCACGCATGTTAGATGCGCATATATTGCATTGACGGCTATTGTCATTGTCTTAGGTTCAGTACAACGTGTGTAATTACAGCCGCACACTGTTAGTACCGATCAAATCATTCTCAAAGTATGAAAACGACAATCATAGCGACATTTATTGTCAAACTCTCGAAAAACTACAAGAAGCTATTCAACAGAAACGAAGAGCAAATGCACATCTCAAAGCAGACAAAGACCCAGTGTCAGAAACACAATTGGGAATTTTTTGTCAACTAAACAGCTTGAGAGGAACAATTCATGTCGATTCTCTGTACCTACCCCATAAACACAAATTCTACTTATACGCATAACCACTTCAGTGGAAATCGTCGCTCAAAGGATTTATCGATTTGAAGAAAGCATTCATAGGTGCAAACTGTGGCAAGTGTTAACAATTACTGAAACAAACCCTCATTTAATAGCCATTAGAAAATGACAACACAAACAATATACTGTTTGTAAAAATGGGAAAAGAACTGTCAGAACCAATCAATACCATGAAAAGACTAAGATAAGAGTGTAGTTTGTCACCACTTTTGTTTAACATTGGCCCTAAAAGATTAGTAAACGTGATTTGGAGGCATGGGAGTCCCTGAACTTCGCTGATGACCAGGTGGTTATCGCCCGGGACGAGTACGACTTGGAATTCATGATTACAAGACTGTACATAACCTATGAACAGCTTATGTACCCAACTTATGAGCGATCTTATACCAAAGAAATTTAAGAAGAAAAAGATCACCTACATCCTGAAGTCGGGGTTTAGTCTGGTACCTATCGGTCATATTGCTTTACTAAGCGCCTGCTTTAAACTCCTAGAATACCTCATTCTAAATGAAATTGGTGATAATATTACAGAGTATACCTCGGTCGAACAGACAGACTTCAGGTTAACTTGGACAGAATCTACATATATCGCTAATACCTAAGAAAACAACAGCTACAGTACACCCAAAAACCAATATCATTCACAAATTATGTGGCACGACGCCAGCGTGGGGATTAACAGCTATAACCTTGCGGTGCTCGCTCCTAAGACTTGTCTATAATACTGTCGAGTACTGTTCACCCGTCTGGCTGAATAGTCGACACTAAACTCCTACTAAACGCCATGCGAACAATCACTGGCTTCCTGCGCTTAGCGACATTCCACCGCCCAAGCTGAAAGACAGGATTCGTTGGCCAGAGAATACCAAAAAATGTTGGACAATAAACAACTTCCAATCCACAACTACACGCATACGGCGTTATCCACCAGGCTCACAAGTAGACACCCTGCAATAAGGACAACTAAAACTTTAACACACTAAGAACTTTAGCTTAGAGTGGAACTGACATAAAATCAAGCTGTCACTTGCTAAGTGAGCCAATAGCTAAATATATCTAGTAAGCCAGTTGGTTTTGAGTTACCCGCAGCATCTGGAAAACCACACAGGATTCGAACAAGGCACGGCTTATTCATAAATATCTGATGACCAGGAAGCCGAAACGGAGATGGATAATGATAAATCTGATGAAGAACATGTAGGTGAAACAACAATGTGATGTCAAACCTCTTCAACATCAAAATAATCAAAAGCGGCAAAAGAAGAGCAATTAGAGTGAAGATACTACTCCATTGTGTTCTTGCAACGTCTCATGCGACCCCAAGACATATTCCAAAGAAGCTGCCAAGCAAAAGATCCATTCGATTATTTTAAATTATTTTTTGATGATGCTGTAATCAAAAATATTTTGGACCAAACAAACATATACGCCCAATAAAAAAACAATAATGTCCATGTAACCATTGATGAATTGTATAGAGTCTTAGGCGGTATGTTACTATCTGAATATGCCAAACACCCGAACAAACGAATGCTGTCGAAGAGCCAAGGTGATGTGCCAAAAATGTTACAAGCTGGTATAGGACTAACTAGATTTGAAACAATTCTACGAAATATACACTTCAACGATAACACTCACATTAATTTTGAAAATAGATTGTATAAATTAAAACCATTTATTGAAATACATGGTGGACTGGAAGAAAACACATGCATAGATGAAAGTACCTTATTACGGCAAATATTACGCAAAGCAATGCATGAAAGGTAAACTTGTGTCTTCGTGTACAAGTGAAGGATATATGGTAAGCTTTGATGTATATACAGGAAAAGGCATTAAAAGAAACGAAAATAGGTTTGGACTTGGAGGAAATGTCGTTTTAGACCTAATAAATAAAGCTGGTATTGGAGAAAATGAAGGGTATAAGATCTATTTTGATAATTATTTTACCAGTGAACAGAAGATGTCCTTTCCCCAATACGAGGTTTTGGAATAAATCATGCAGAGGTACATACCGGTTTATGGGAAGTGATGAAGTATTACTTGTTCAATGGAAAGATAACAGAGTGGTTACCATGGCAACAAACTTTCAAGGAAAATCTGTATCCAGCAGTACACAGTGGTGCAAGGAAAGTAGGTCTTATAGAGCCATAGAGCAGCCCGAAGTGGTAACAAGCTATAATAAAGGAATGGGTGGGGTGGATATAAATTAGATAAACTTGTTGCAGTATACAGAATGCGAATGAGGCTTAGAAAGTGGTATTGGCCAATCTATTTATTTCTATTAGATGCTTCTTAATGGGTGGCTCCTTATGAAGAAATTGAAACTTAATAATATAAACTGTTCTTCATTACTGGCATTCCGGCGATACATAGTACTCAGCTTTTTGATATCATATGGTGCTGGGGAGTTAGGAAGAAAAGCTTCTGTATCTAAGCCATTGCTGGCAATCCGTTATGATAACATTGGTCATTTAATTCGCTTCTATGAGAAGATCGACGAAAAGGTCAAATTTTATATGTATAAAGTGTGATATTGGCCTACATCCTAAATACTGTTTTGAACATTGTCATACTAAATAATCCTAAAAGTTATATTTATTATTCCTTAACATTGTTTTGTAAATAATTACATGTTTTTAAATTGTTGTATTTTTGTTATAATACAGTTTCATTCACGCCAATATGAAAAAAATTCTTTTTTGATAATAAAATAGTTAAGACAGGTCAATCAATAGGTGGAAAGAACTTCCAGGTCACAGAGAAGCGAAGAGTATGATAACTCCGTCGTAAAACAAAACCAAAGAGGTTTTATGCCTCAATAAAGGGGATTTAAGGTCGCTCTCAGGCTTCCTGGCCAGCCATGCGCCCCTAAAATACCATCTCTTCCACATTGGACAAGCTGAGGATCAAACATGTCGACTTTGTAACGACGAGTCAGAAACAGCTGAACTGAGCTGAACATATACTATGTGAATGCGTGGCAAGAGGTCGCCCAAGACAACATTTTCGTAAAGTCCCTAGATTTACAAAGTACCGCGGTTTGCCGCCATTTTGGCTCGAAAGTCAAGCGGGAAATTTAAAACTATGTCGTTCTATTGATAACATTACGCCAAAACCCTTTTCTTTTTTCTCGTGGTACTCTTAAGAGTTGAAAGCCCTTCTTACTGCTATTTTTGCAATACCAAAGGCAACAAGACGGCAATATTTTGATAAATAAGGGGTGAGATGCGGTGACAAGTTGTCAAACCGCCATTTTGGCTCGAAAACAGGCGTCATGAACCGCGGTACTTTGTAAATCTAGGGACTTTACATTTTCGGTTAAAATCCCTAGATTTACAAAGTCCCGCGGTTTGACGCCATTTTCGCTCGAAAGTCAAGTGGGTAATTTAAAACTACAAACCAAAACATTACGCCAAATTTCCTTTCTTTTTTCTCGTGGTACTCTGAAGAGTCGAAAATCCTTCTTACTGCCATTTTTGCAACTCCAAAGGCAACAAGACGGCAATATTTTTGTAAATAAGTGGTGAGGTGCAGTGACAAGCTGTCAAACCGCCATTTTGGCTCGAAAACAGGCTTCATGAACCGCGGTACTTTGTAAATCTAGGGACTTTACATTTTCGGTAAAGTAAGCCTGACACCTACCGACATAAACGAACAAATCCTTGGCAATACTAAGATTCATCAAGGACCTCCATTTGCCCTAAACGTTTGGAGGGCTTAAGTTACAATAGATCTTATAGGTCGCGGTGACGAGAGAGGGCACTCCCCTCAGCCTAGCAGTAATAATAATAATAACACCCACACATTATCCTAAATAAAGTAGAAAAAAATTCAAGAGACCTTAAAATTTAATTAAAAATCTATAGTCATTTTCCTATGGTAATATTTTCTTGTTTTTAAATAAATAATTTTGTTTGATTTCTTACCTCTTTAATCAATCGGAATGCTGTGTTTAAATTTGAAGATGGAGGCGAAATTTCTCCAGGTTCTTTAGTATTAGTACTTCTATATGTAACCTCTTTTAAAAAGGTAGCATCTGGTTGTTGATAAGTACCGCCCTCGTTCTTTCCCATTGTAGAACCAGGATGGAAGAAATTAATACGTAGATAAGTGTAATCACCTTCAACAGACTGCGAGATATTTTTAATTGTTGAAATATGAAATGGAACCGGAAGCCCATAAATCGGCAAAATAACCGTTTCATATTTTTGATCGACATATAACTTTAATTCTTTGACTTCCGAAACTCTCGGCATTTGATTTGTGTTTTTATAAGAAACCGTGTTTTTCCGAACTTTTTCAACATCTTTCGCACCACCTTGTTTTGCAAGTCGCTCTTTTGCTTTCTCATTTAAAGCGTTTGCTAATTCTTTTTGGTGTTCCTTTCGTTTCTCTTCGGATGTTTGCTCAGAACGCAATTTCGATTCAATTACAGCGGTTCGTTGCCCACGGCGTAAAATTTCTGGTTTTGGGGCGTTTTCTTTTTCTTCATCGTTCTCTTCTTCTTCGGAATCGTCTTTAAGGAAAATTCCGATATTTTTTATTTTTTTCTTAGATACAGTTAATAAAGTAGCGGGTTGATCATCGTTAACCATTACGGTATCACCGATAAATAAAGCGTAAATTTTTCCTTCTTTATCTTGTGCATCTTTGTTTTGTAAATTACTAAATCCCATGTTGATGTTAAATACCATTCCTTTTCGTGCGATTGCAGTTGCTTTTGGGCCGATTGTTAAGGAATTTTCTTTGAATTCAATTCCCATTGCAAAACCGAAATTTTTAGTTAGATTCTCAACAAGATTCGGTTTTTCTTTTTTAACGTAAGCTAAACCTGATTCGTAAACATCGCATAATTTCGTTCCGTTTGTTAACTTTTTTAATACTTCTTCTTCCAGGTTTAATAAAAAATTGTAATTGTTTTGAACCTCATCAGAAGGATTTACCAACAATGTGCGAATTACATTTGAACAGTAACTTTTGTATCTCGCCCCTAAGGAACAAGTAATCGCCCCAAAATGTAAATTATTTTTATCACTCAAAACGCTAAACTTAAAATTATAATTCCCCCCAGATTGGATTATAGCAGGGTAACACATATCCACTTGGTTTACGTCTATTCCAGAAACGTATTTTTTATCGGTTATAGCTTGTTCGACACCTTCCGCCAATTTGCTATGTTTCACTTTTTTGTCGGAATCAATAATTTCCATTATTTGATCCTTTAAATATTTTGTAAATACATCCACAGAGACGTTACAAGCTTTCTTTATCGTGACGATTTCCGTTTCTTCTTTTGGACACATCACGTAAGCTACAGCAGAGGAAACATCAACCACATTAAATTCTTCTTTTTTTAAAGCAGCCCGCCACGAGTCCATAAATTCTCCGGGATAATTTTCTTTTGTAAATGTGCCTAAAGAATCAAGAATTTAAATATTTGATATAATTCAAGAATCATCATGTCGCTTAAAAAACGTCAATTTTTTTTAATCGACGGAGATCATTCAAGTAAGCCGTTACAAATAAAAAAAGTGCGGAGAAATGTAAAATTTGCGAAAAAATCACTTTAAAGTTTCGACGTGACGTCACTTTTTGTGACGTCATCGACCGTGGTAACCATATATTTTCGCAGCGTTTAAACTCTTTAACTTATTGGTTCGTGAATGCTACATACTGTTGGCAAAAGACTAATTATTGCTATCAGAAGATTAAATGCTGCTAGTAAAAGACTAAAAACTGCTTGGAAAGAGGAAATATTAATTCAAAAAGTTACCTATTGTTTCTAAAAGCTAGATACTGCAGAAAAAGACCACAACTTACTTGGAAAAGACTGGATGATGTTTTCAAAATAATAGCTATTGCTTCTTCCAGAACGCTAAACACTGCTATTAAAGGTTTTAACCTACTTGGACAGGCGGAATACTGCTTCTTCCAAGACTACTTATTGCTTTTAAAGACTTTAATAATTGTTTGGAAAAGAGATATGCTTCCCAAAAAGCTTCCAAATGCTGCCAGAATGCTAAATACTACTAGAAAAGACTAATAACTACTTGGAAAGAAGAGATATGCTCTCCGAAAATGATACCTACCGCTTCAAAAATGCTAGATACTGGTGGAAAAGATAACAATCTGCTTGGAGAAGACTAGGTAGTACTGCCAAACAACTAAAAAAGACTGGAAAGACAAGATACTGCTTCCATAAGACTACTGACTGCTTTCAGAGGGTTATATACTACTAGAAAAAATTACAACCTGCTTGGAGAAGACTAAATACTGCTGGGAGAAACTATTATCTGCTTGGAAAGACAAAATACCGTTTTCAAAAGAGTATTAACTACTTTCAGAATGCTAAATATTGTTGGAGAGACTACTAATTGCTTAGAGAAAGCTAGATATTGTTGGCAAAGACTATTTAATGCTTTCAGAAGACTACTGCTGCTACAACACTACTAAGTGCTTGGAGATTACAATACTACTGGCTGAAGACTATTTACTGAAATTATTCCTCTGTTGAGTGATATCTTTCTGTGCTCCTTCCATTACAGATCTAAAAATTGCTGCTACAACATTCGATTCTTTGTCACCCAGATGCGACATATCTTTTTAAGAGGAGGGTAGGGCCCCCGCTTTAAACGTTACATTCGGATCTACCAAATGTACTGATTTATTTCAGAATATTGTGTAAAATTCCACTTTGAGTTAGGTTAATTAACATTTAAACCAGTGCGAATTTCTCAAATGTCGCTAACCATATTTTCGCAGCACATTTGGTTAAAACGTATATTTTCGGGTGAAATACGGTTGTTTTTTTTTGGTTTTCGACGCACAACGACTATAAACTAAAGATAACCTATCCCCTCTTTAACTTATTGGTTACTGAATGCTAGATACTGTTGGCAAAAGACTAATTATTGCTACCAGAAGATTAAATACTGCTAGTAAAAGACTAAAAAGTACTTGGAAAGAGGAAATACTATTTTAAAAAGTTACCTACTGCTTCTAAAATCCTAGATACTGCAGAAAAAGACCACAACTTACTTGGAAAAGGCTAGATACTGTTTTAAAAATAATACCTATTGCTTCCAGAACGCTAAACACTGCTGTTAAAGGGTTTGACCTACTTGGACAGGCGGAATACTACATAATTGTTTAGAAAAGCTACCTACTGCTTCCAGAATGTTAGATACTGCTGGAAAAGATTAGTAACTGGTTACAAAGAAGAGATATGCTTCCCAAAAAGCTACCTAATGCTGCCAGAATGCTAAATACTACTGGAAAAGACTAATAACTACTTGGAAAAAAAGAGATGCTCTCCAAAAAAGGTTCCTACTGCTTCCAAAATGTTAGATACTGGTGGAAAAGGTTACAATCTGTTTGGAAAACACGAGATACTACTGTCAAACAACTAAAACTGATTGGAAAGACGAGATACTGCTTCCATAAGTATACTTATTGCTTTCAGAGCGCTATATACTACTAGAAAAGATTACAATCTGCTTGGAGAAGACTACATACTGCTAGGAGAAACTATTATCTGCTTAAGAAGGCAAGATACTGTTTCCAAAAGACTATTCTACTTTCAGAATGCTAAATATTGTTGGAAAGACTACTAATTTCTTGGAGAAAGCTAGATATTGTTAGTAAAGACTATTTAATGCTTTCAGAAGACTATATATTGCTGCCAAAACACTACTAAGTGCTTGGAGATTACAATACTACCTACTGACTGAAGACTATTTACTGAAACTATTCTTCTGTTGAGTGATATCTTTCTATATATTCTGGATTAAACGGAAGAGCAGTTGGTTAATAACCGAACTGAACTTCGTCCAGAAAATAAGTCTATTTTGTAACAGTGTATTATTATTTTTTCTTCTTTTTGCAACTTATTAATGAAGGCATTTATTATTATTATATGCAAATTTTCATAAAAATAGTGCTAGTAGGGAGCCACATACATATAGCCTGTGACAGAACTGTAAATTCCGTCAGCATACCGCCGATACCAACTCTAAAGGATGCCGATTACTGTTGATGCGAGTACAGAAACGCGTGATTCGTACAAGTACACACGAGATAATGGTATAAATCGTCGGACGAGTATTCGTAGTCATATTCACGCGATTCTGTACGTACTCGTGCAGTGCTCTAGGAGATAGCGCTAGTTAGCATTACATATTACTATGTTGCATATTTTTATTGAACTAAAACTAGAACTAACACTAAACCTAGAACTAGAAACAGTCTTCAGACGCACGGCTAAACCCGATACTTTCTAATTCTAGGTGTAGTGTTAGTTCTAGTTTTACACTATCACTAGAACACAAGACCTAGACCTAGAACTATAAACATTCGGGTTTAGCCGCACGTCTCTCAAGAGTGTAAAACATGAACTAATACTAGACCGAAAACTAGAAACATTCGGATTTAGCCACGTCTTTCAAGATGGCTAAACCCGAATGATTGTAGCTTAGGTCTAGTGTTAGTTTCACTTTTAGTTCAATAAAACTATATAACAATCTATAGTAGAAACCACGAGAGTTGGTAGTAAGTCATCGCTTAAAAATTGTATGAATCAAGATATGGACGTACTTAGATTATTTCACTACATACATTTAAATGTAGGTTATGTTAGTAATGGAGGTTATATGTCAAACATTGTCAAAGATAGTTGAGGTTAACGTTAAAGTTATTACTAGTTAACGTTACGTTTAGGTTAAAGTTTATGTAAATATTAATTTATGTAACAAATAATTTTAAAGGTTATTTAAAGGTCGAAAGTAAGTTTTATTTAAACAGTGGTTCAATGCTCACAAGACGTTTAGATTTGAGGTTAGGATTACGGTAGGTACATCCGTTAGAAAAACAAACGTACTTTGCGACGTGGCTATTTCAATTGTACAGCAGACATATTAAACTAATGCTATCTCTTTCTAACACACATTACTCTCCAGCGGTTTGTGAATTTTAATTTACTACGTATGGCATTTGTAAGAGCGGAAAGCGATGATTTACTGCCACCTCTCGTGGTTTCTACTATAACGCGGAACAACAATTAAAACTAGAACTAACACTGGAGAAATAGTGATTGCAGTGAACAGTTAGCACACTGGTGAATCTAAGAAGACAATTTTCTAGTTAATATTGTCTGTTTTTGACATCAACCCAAAATATTTAAATTTAAAAAAATAAAATTCATAACGGTTTCACAAAAGTAGTGATTCTTTATTACCACGCCAATATCACCTCACACCTAAAAATGTTCGTTTTTAAACACCATTTATAAATATTAAAAAATTAAAATTCACAAAAATAGTGTTCTAAATAACTCACAATATTAACACGTCAATATCGCCTACTAACTACTAATATCACTAACTCTCCAGATGGCTAAACCCGAATGATTCTAGTTCTAGGTCTTGTGTTAGTTCTAGTGCAAAACTAGAACCAATACTAGACCGAAAACTAGAAACATTCGGATTTAGCCCCACGTCCTTCAAAACAACTAAACCCGAATATTTCTAGTTCCTAGATCTAGTGTTAGTTCACTAAAAATATTCAACAATCTAGTACTGAATCAGAATTAAAACTAGAACTATATTTAGTCTGAAGACGCACAGCTAAATCTTGCCTTCTAGTTTTAGTTCTAGAACTAAAACTAATTCTAGATCTAGAACTAGTAACATTCGGGTTTAGCCACATGTCTTTTAAGATGGCTAAACCGGAATGTTTCTAGTTCTAGTGTTAGTACTAAAACTAAAATTAGATCTAGAACTAGTAACATTCGTATAGTACATACTTTCCAGTTCTAGTGTTAGTTTTAAAACTAACATTAGATCTAGAACTAGTAACATTCTGATAGTACATACTTTCTAGTTCTAGGTGTAGTGTTAGTTCTAGAACTAAAACTAACATTAGATCAAGAACTAGTAACATTCATATAGTACATACTTTCTAGTTCTAGAACTAAAACTAACATTAGATCANCATTAGATCTAGAACTAGTAACATTCTGATAGTACATACTTTCTAGTTCTAGGTGTAGTGTTAGTTCTAGAACTAAAACTAACATTAGATCAAGAACTAGTAACATTCATATAGTACATACTTTCTAGTTCTAGAACTAAAACTAACATTAGATCAAGAACTAGTAACATTCCTATAGTACATACTTTCTAGTCTAGTGTTAGTTCTAGTTTTACACTAACACTGTCACTAGAACTGACACAAGACCTAGTGACAGTGTTAGTGTAAAACTAGAACTAACACAAGACCTAGTGACAGTGTTAGTGTAAAACTAGAACTAACACTAGACTAGAAAGTATGTACTATAAGAATGTTACTAGTTCTTGATCTAATGTTAGTTTTAGTTCTAGAACTAGAAAGTACACTAACACTGTCACTAGAATTGACACAAGACCTAGTGACAGTGTTAGTGTAAAACTAGAACTAACACAAGACCTAGTGACAGTGTTAGTGTAAAACTAGAACTAACACTAGACCTTGAAGTGACCTAGTGTTAGTTCTAGTATTAATACAGAGTCTATTGACATACAGTCTATCTAACAACAGGTAGTCAGTAAAGCCTAAGAAAAACAAGGGTGTTTCATTAGTAAATATATGTTGTAATCTCACCTAATTTAGTGAAAATAACTTTACTTGTAAGTTTATCACATTGATTTTGTGTGTGGCTATAAAATAACAATTTGTAGGTTAGGTGTTGACCGGTTTAATAGGAAAATGCATGGTTAACATTGCTTGTGACGCCACATCTAAACTTTAATGTGCTTTTTCAGTATGTTCTACACTTTTCCGCATTATTCTTGAATTTTTCCTAAAATTTTTACCTAACCTAAAAAATAATAAAACTGAATTTACCTAAAGTTTTTCCTTTCCGACTTTCCTTAATCGCAC